AACTGTCCCAGTGATAAGTTAATGTCCAGGAGCCGCTGCTCGAAGTTTTCAGAGAATAAGAATAGGAAAATCAGCATAAAAAGTAAGCAGAGGCAAGAGCAAGCAGAAAAGCGTCTGCACTGTAAGAAAGATAACAGTTGTCAAAGTACTGGCAGCAGCGGCTGCCAAACAAAAACCCTTAAATTAAAGTAAAATACTTTAACTGAAATAAAGTGAATAAGCCATTAATTTACGGGAATTGTCCTTAAAGATTTTACAGGAAAACACTGTAATTTTACAGATTTATCCTCTCTTTTTACAGTCAATAACCTTTAATAAAAGTACATTACTAATACTTTAACGTACAAATACTCTAATATTACAGATTTATCCTCTCTTTTTACAGTCAATAACCTTTAATAAAAGTACATTACTAATACTTTAACGTGCAAATACTCTAATTTTACAGATTTATCCTCTCTTTTTACAGTCAATAACCTTTAATAAAAGTACATTACTAATACTTTAACGTACAAATACTCTAATTTTACAGATTTATCCTCTCTTTTTACAGTCAATAACCTTTAATAAAAGTACATTACTAATACTTTAACGTGCAAAAAACCTGTAAAAAAACGGTCAAAGTACTGGCAGCAGCGGCTGCCAAACAAAAACCATAAAATTAAAGTAAAAATACTTTAACTCAAATAAAGTGCAAAAGCAATTAATATACAGAAATTGTCCTTAACGATTTTACAGGAAACTTTCCTCTCTTTTCAAAATCCATTGTCTTAAAATGTTACATTCAAATACCTTAAATAAAGTTCGGATGAGAAAAACTGTTTTTTACTTTTTTTTTTATTAGATTTGTATGATCAAACACTAAAATAAATACAGAACCTAAAGTTCTACAGGTAGAATACTGTTATTTTACAGCTTTTTTCTAACATTTTCCAATCAAAGACATTCAATGAAAAGACATCACAAAATGTTCTGTCGGAAACAATTACTCTGAAAACTTAAAATATGAAAACTAATGAATACAGCATTTCATATTTAAACATCATACTTATAAACAGTAGAAACAAAAAGTAAGTTGAATTTTTTAAGAGTACTTTGAAACATTCTCAACTGAAAATAACAGAAATTACAAAATGGCGACATATGTTCACATTGTCAATTTGAAGGAGCAGTGTGCAGGATTTAGTACGTCTAACAATGGGGATGTAGGTTCCAACCAATGGATAACTTGTTCACTCACCCTCCTATCCCAAGTTTGTAGAATGTATATTGGCTGCAAAAAACTTGAGGCCCAATCATGTTTCCTCTGTCCATTCTGCGCTACTGTAGACGTGGCAGTGCAACCTAGAGGACAAAAAGATCAGAATCAGAAACAGGTTTTTCACACGTATGAGGAATTTGACTAGGTGTCGTACATACACATATAAATAAAAGAAATTAAATTAAAAAAAGTACACAGATAGCGAACTATATTAAGAACACTGTAATAAAAATATAGTAAGATAGCAATAAAATAAAGCAGTAATATACATCGAAATAGAATGCAATAAATTATAGAATATAAAATATGTGCAGTAAGCAATATTTAAACATTGCATTATTTACCATCCTGTGATCTCCATTATGTAATGCATAGAGTCTGCGTTGTGGATGAGGTAAAGTGTCAGTGGGGGGGCCTTGTTGAGGTGGCGAGAGGTTTTGGTCCTGGTGGCGAGAGGTTTTGGTCCTCATGGAGAGGTTCTGGTCCTGATGGAGAGAGGTTTTGGTCCTGATGGAGAGAGGTTCTGGTCCTGATGGAGAGAGGTTCTGGTCCTGATGGAGAGAGGTTCTGGTCCTGATGGAGAGAGGTTTTGGTCCTGATGGAGAGAGGTTTTGGTCCTGATGGAGAGAGGTTCTGGTCCTGATGGAGAGAGGTTCTGGTCCTGATGGAGAGAGGTTTTGGTCCTGATGGAGAGAGGTTTCGTTCCTGATAGAGAGAGGTTTTGGTCCTGATGGAGAGAGGTATTGGTCCTGATGGAGCGCAGCCTCCTGCCAGAGGGGAGGGGGGTGAACAGTTTGTGTCCAGGGTGGAAGGGGTCGGCCACTATCTTCCCTGCCCGCCTCAGGGTCCTGGAGGCATGCAGGTCGTGGAGGGATGGCAGATTGCAGCCGATCACCTTCTCTGCAGAGCGGATGACACACTGCAGCCTGCCCTTATCCTTGGCTGTGGCTGCAGCGTACCAGATGGTGATGGAGGAGGTGAGGATGGACTCCATGATGGAGGTGTAGAAGTTCACCATCATCGTCTTTGGCAGGTTGAATTTCTTCAGCTGCCTCAGGAAGAACATCCTCTGCTGGGCTTTTTTGATGAGGGAGCTGCTGTTCTGCTCCCATTTGAGGTCCTGGGCGATGATGGTGCCCAGGAAGCGGAAAGACTCCACAGCAGTGACTGGGGAGTCACACAGAGTGATGGTGAGCCACACAGAGTGATGGGGGCGGGCGGGGCTGCGTTCTTCCTAAAGTCCACAACCATCTCCACTGTCTTGAGAGCGTTGAGCTCCAGGTGGTTTTCCCCACACCAGGTCACCAGATGGTCCATCTCACACCTGTGGGCAGACTCGTCCCCACCAGAGATGGGTCCGATGAGCGTGGTGTCGTCTGAACTTCAGGAGCTTGACAGACTGGTGACTGGAGGTGCAGCTGTTGGTGTACAGGGAGAAGAGCAGAGGGGAAAGAACGCAGCCTTGAGGGGAACCGGTGCTGATGGTCAGAGACGTGTTTCCCCAGCCTCACGTGCTGCTTCCTGTCAGACAGGAAGTCTGTGATCCACCTGCAGCTGGGAGAGCTTGTCCTGCAGCAGAGCTGGGATGATGGTGTTGAAGGCAGAGCTGAAGTCCACAAACAGGATCCTGGCATAGGTTCCTGCTGTGTCCAGGTGCTGGAGGAGGAAGTGAAGTGATAACTATTAGTAAACCATAATGATGGATGTTATTATCAGCAGCTGCCAATAGATCCCCTAAATCTTGTACACACACACACACACACACACACACACACACACACACACACACACACACACACACACACACACACACACACACACACACACACACACACACACACACACACACACACACACACACACACACACACACACACACACACACACACACACACACACACACACACAATTGAGAGCATCCCAAGGGCATTGATTATTTCATAAGTTTAGAAGGGGGGAACATAGTCTAACAACAGTTAGCTTTTGTTAATTTTACCTTGAGCCAAACTTGTGATACTTGTTTCTGAAATCCCTTTCTCTTAAAGTGAATAAAAAACAAAAAAAACAATGGAGCTTACCCTAAAACTAACCACTGGATTGCTTGTCTAACATGACCTAGTCCATGTTAGCGAAGTACAACTGGGATTTCGAGGGGGAAGATATGCTTGGTTGATTCTAATTTTTACTTTCTTACTTTTTGAATAAAAATCATGTTTGTATCACTACACTTCTAAGGGACAACATGGGTCAAACATTGCCCGTATTCTTTTGCTATGTTATTTCATGCATGGCTGAGTATTTATTTACTATACATTTTCAAAAATAATTAATTTTAGCAGTGATTTGGACCAAGCATGTATGATGTAGTAATACAACAAGTATTTTAGTTCACACAGTGTGACATTAGCTAGTCATGTTAGCTTGTAATATATAGAGCAGAGCTAACTAGCAAGTTAGCCGAACGTTAGCGGTTAGCTGTTTATGGTATGCTAGCTGTTGGCTACTTAACATTAACAAACTGGATTCCGCTGTAAGAAAGCTGTGAAACTTTACATTAAACTTGGCGACAACACTGTGACACCCCGCTGCATGTTTATGTGTAATTCTCCCGTGTGGAGACGAGAGGTGGAGCGGCAGCACTGCAATAAGCTGTAAGCTAACGTTAGCAGCCACCTTGTTAAACCAGGTTTGGGCGCAACATCTTGCAAGAAACAGCATCTGAGGGCTTCTTAACATTTAACAACCTATTAATGATGCAAACTCAGCTAACTAGAAGAAGAAACGTAACCTTAAATACAAAATAAAACATTCACAAACTAAGGATTATCTAAATACATGTTTAACTCCATTACAGTTGCAGGACTCACCAGATCTCAAGTCTTCTGTTCTTTGTTGACGTCCCGATGCTCATATTTAACGTGTAGATGTAAAACGATCCCGATATTAATCCATTAATCCATAAACTCCTGCAGCTCCGAGCCGGAGCTGGAAAAGCGCCGGTGTGAAAAGGGCAGACAGGTGTAGCTCCGTCCGCAGGAGGAGACCCGCTCTAACTGACGTGAATGTTTCAAATGTGAACAACAGGCGCGGGCAGTTCTCATTGGCAGGTTTCTTCGATGACGTTTATATTAACCAATCAGGAGTGTTGTGGACTCATTCCAAACATGCCTGACTTGTCTGCCGTGTTATGGCTGAATTCCAATTCAAGTGCCGTAGTTCTGGCTGTCGGCCAGAATCCGAAAACCATGCACATTATACTGCATGAAAGACTAAGGCTTATTACTGTATATTGACCAATGGGAAAAAAAACACAGCAACAGAACACATAAATAAAACAAGGATAACTGTGACTTATTGTTGAGTAAATAACAGTGTGTGTTTTAAACCTGGGTCCTCCCTGCAGAGATTTCTCCACTTTCTAAGATTTTTATTTTTTTTAATGATATTGTCAACTGTAGATGTTTACAATATAGTAAGTTAGGAATTTAATGAAAACATATTTATTTACTTTTGTTTCAACATTGGATATTTTGTGTTTGTGGTGGATTCAATCGAATATTGAGAAAATGATTTATGTAAAAATGTTTTACTTTACATTTTTTTTGTTTGACGCTTTTTTTTACAGTTTTATGTTTACCTTAAAATTACAAAGAAATATCTTAAAGTCTTATAATAGTAATACACTTTTATATTACGAGTTACATATTTAATTACAGATAATACTTTTTATTTTACGTACATCTGCATGTATTTTCTGAAAGTGCAAAAATACTGTAAATATTATATAGTAAATGTACTGTAAAAAAAAATGAAATAATCGTTATTTGTTGTTATTGTCAAAATACTTAAAATAATGTTTTGGATTGTTAATTTATAGTTAATATCTGTCATTTTACAGGATTTTGCAAGTTATTTAAAAAAACATGATAATTACTATAAAAATGTACAGTTATTTCCTGTAAAATTACGATCTTTTTTTACAGTGTACAACACACCTCTACATTATTTGGGATTAACAACAATTTTTTTCGTATTCCCGCAGGCAAAGTATCAACGAAGCTTACATTATACAAATGTAATGCAATATACAGACTGTTTAGCTTATGATGATCAGCAGCACTATGAGCTCATTCTCTCAGTGTATCATCAGGAATACAGAGACACACACACATCATTTAAATAAGAGTTTTTAAATTAAATTATTGGTTAAGAATAAACATCTTAAAGCAAATAACAATAAACAATAGCCCTTAACCCTGTAAGGCCCCCGGTTGTAATTTTACAACATTACTTTAAGCTATCCTAAAAAAGTCAGTAAATGTTTTGGTTTTTTAAAAGACTACATTTACATAGTCAAAAGGTCCTTTTGTTCAGCCTCACAATGCTATTGGGTAGTAAATGTGTTTATAGGTCCGGCCCTCTGGCCATACACGCCAGGGATTTTGGGCCCCATGAAAATATATCACATTGGGCCCCACCACCAGGCCCAGGCCACGCCAACCAAGCACAATCACTGTAACCACACCCAACCGACTCATTTATGCTTTAAATAACTACCTGTACAGGCTTGCATCTATCTTGTGGTCCAATACTAACTGCACAATATTTACTGACACTGAGCTGTGAAAATATAACACTGTGCAGACGTGCAACATTCTGCTGCAGTAGAATTTACTATTTGATATAAGACTAACATTCCTGACAATAGATCTCAATAGTCATCTTTTATGTTGTCAATGCATTTTTAATAACATTTTTGAATGGAACATTCTCAACATGAATGCATAAATCCAAATAAATATAACTTAAATATGTGGAGAAATACTGTGTTTGAAATGTGTAATTGAAATGAGATGTTAGCTTTTTGTTTTGATATATATATATATATTGTATTCCAGTCTCCCTTCAGATATGTTAAGTGACATGTCATTCAACACAATGCTGCTCACCTCCTTCAGTTGGGAGAAAAGCTGGTTCAGGTTCAGCATTATGGGGGGACAGGGCTGCTGAGCCTAAAGATGGATCTGTTGGTCCTGGCACCAGGGGGAGGGAAAACTGATTTAGTATGAATCGCTGCTAAAAATGTACCTGCATTTATTAAATGTCAGCTAAAAGAGCAGTGAAATTAAAAACCTGTATAGATATTAACAGTACTTAATGTCAGCTTAGTAAAAAAAAAACATAACAATTATTATTTACAATGGACTACGCTTAGCTAACAGACACATTTCCACCACTCATGGACCACACCCACCTTTTCTTTGAAAAACTGGGTGACATACTGTCGCCCTCTCTTGTCTTTCTCTCCTTTTTTCTTAATGTTCTAAAATTGTTTGGGCCCCCGTGGTGAGGGTGTTTGGGGTGGCCAATAGGGTGGCCAGGATTCAGCAGCCACCCCCCAGCTCCGCCACTGATTGACTCAGAGGGAAGGGAAAATGTCCCCACACGGTGGATTCAGGAATGCAAGAGTATTCTCCATTTCTGTTGTCTCTCTGTCATCTGTGTTGTCTGTGTGAGCTTTGGAGGTTCTAGTCTTTGGATTCTATTATATTTTTCTTTATGCTTCTTGATGTTAGTTCTAGTTTCACTTCAGTGTAGTTTCAAAATAAATTCTGAGAAGCTTGATAAATACGGCAGTATTTCTTCTCCTGTCACTCTATATTTCATCCTGCATCTCTCTGTTTTCCTTCCTTCTGACATCTCCCTCTGTTAGTGTGACCCAGCTGCTGGAGCGGATCAGTGAAGTGTTGGAGCAGAACCACCTCTTCATGTCAGACCGGCCTGGTTTGTGTCAGGAGCTTGAGAGCCTGCAGCAGCACCTGGAGAGTCTCAGCTCCAGCCCTTTACCTCCGGACAGCAGCCTCAACAGCAGCCAGGGTTAGATAAACAGCCATGCTCTACCTAGTCTGTGATGCCTATTCCAGTTTCCTGTCAATGTGATCCTCATAGGCCCCAACATGAAATCTCTGCTGAAATGTTTTGCTTGGAAAAAAAACTAAAAATAAGTATTTTTTCAGCAATTTGTGTTTTCTTTTCTGTGTGGGGATGCAGGCTTCACTCTGGCCAGTGTGTTGGTGAATCCGTCAGGTTTCCAGCAGTTCCTGGTCAGGAACCTTTCCCTGTCCAGCTCCACAGCCAGCCTGCTGCTCAACACTCCAGTCAGCCTCCCAGAGGTGATCACTGTCACTTTACCTAGTATATATATATATATTTCATGCCTCTGTACTGGCGACAGCCATAGCCAAAGGCATTATGTCTTGTTTCCAGGTTTGTTTGATATGGAATACAGTATGTATCATATAAATATGTGTTGAGATTTATTGTTGAGTGTTTAAATACACACTCACTCACACACTCTCTCACACACACACACACACACACACACACACACACACACACACACACACACACACACACACACACACACACACACACACACACACACACACACACACACACACACACACACACACACACACACACACACACACACACACACACACACACACACACACACACACACACACACACACACACACACACACACACACACACACTGTCCTTCCAGATATGATGGAGAGAGCCTTTATCAACACGTTTGTGGGACATGATGTGGTGGAGCCTGGGAACTACGTTCAGATGTTCCCCTACCCATGTTACACCAGAGACGAGTTAGAAATGCACTTTGTTTGTTGTTGTTGTTCAGAACGTCATGTTTAGCATGGTCATACATCATTGGAGATTGTCAGCACACTGTGTGAAGTCTAGTTCATGGCAGTGGTGATTCTACTAGGAACAAATTGTAGCAGCCATGGTGACTTCATGGAGGTCCTGAAAATAATAATAATATTCTTAGCTGAGATTGTACTATTGTATTATTCTAAGTGAGATTATAAATAAAATGTATTCCTAAGCATACTAGCATACTGCCAATGAAACAACTTTTTTAAAGTAATTAGAATGGTGGATCTTAGGAAACGGAAAGATAGGACATCATCATCATCATGAACAATCTAGTTTTTCAATCATTTCTGTCTTGAGTAAAATTAACAAGGTAATCTCCTCCGTGGAGTGAGGATACTACGAAGTCTTTTTGCGATTAAACATCCAGATGTTATGGTGGCAAGACTCTCCAAATCAAGGGAACATTAACTTTAATGCTCTAACTGCTGACATTACAGCATCTTACCTTAGCCAACCCGCAAATCAAGCTCGTCGATCAGAGCGATCAGAGCTGCGTTGATCAGAGCGTCGCGTTGATCAGAGCGAGCAGAGCGTCTCACCTGGCAGTGCTTTTACTCATCCGCCTCACGGAGCGTGGAAAGCGAGGGGCAGGGCTGCCTCTCTTCCGCTGGTGTGGAAAGGAGGATTTGCACCGAGGGCATTGCGGAGTGGCCTGAACGTTCTCCCCGTCTCGGGCTGGGGCCTGTTTCTGCCTGTTTTGCACTGCTGTAGCAGAGGCCAGCTTCCACCTGTACTGTGCTGCTGTGGTGCCGACTCCGGAGGAGGATTTTGCCCCAGAGACGGAGCGGAGAGACGGAGCGGAGAGACGGAGCGGAGAGACGGAGCGGAGAGACGGAGCGGAGAGACGGAGCGGCTCCACGTTTTTGTCGGGCTGCGGCCTGCTTTACACCTGTCCTGTTTCTGCTGTAGCGGAGGCCTGCTTCCACCTGTCGGGTGCTGCTGTGCTGTGGAGATTTTCCCCCGGGGACTTCGCGGAGAGACCAGAACGGCTCCACGTTCGGGCTTGGGCCTGCCTTCCACCTGTCCTGTTTCTGCTGTAGCGGAGGCCTGCTTCCACCTGTCGTGTGCTGCGGTGCTGAGGAGGTTTTACCCCGGGGACATCGCGGAGAGACCGGAGCGCCTCCACGTTTTGGCTGGGGCCTGTTTTCGCCTGTCCTGTGCTGCTGTGCGGTAGATGATTTGCCCCAAAAACATCACAGTTGCTGTGCTGGCCTGGGAATATGGCCCTCATCGTGATTCTGCTGTGCCTGCTGGCTGTTTTGGACAGTGAGAAGTTTATTTGCCTGCTATGATGGTTCTTCAGGACTGCTTCTTGAGCTGAAATCACACTTTCGCAGACTTTGCTGGTGATTTGAAAGTAGATGACAATTTATGTGTGTCGATTAAGAGGAAAAGATGTCTGGTTTTCTTGTTATTATGGCTATCAGGAAATGTACAACCTAACCCTAGACCGCCCAGTAGTAGTAGTCAAATCGCTACTCCTGCTGATTTTAAATCTAGGTCTGGGTTGGGATTCATCCACTTAAATGTGCGCAGTCTTTTACCTAAACTAGATTTTGTCCGCATTTGGGCAAGCTCGACTGACGCTAACGTCATTGTTTTATCAGAAACATGGCTAAATAAATCTATTTTGGCCTCTGACATTGCCTTAAATGGTTACAATGTATATCGTACCGACCGACTTAATAAAGGTGGTGGCGTTGCCATTTATGTGAAGAATACGTTTAGTGTAACCACATTGGTTTCCAAATCAATTAGTAAACAACTAGAATTTTTAGCCTTAAATATCGAAGTGGCAAAGGGTCAACAGGTCATGGTGGTGGGCTGTTACAGACCCCCCTCAGCTGTCAAGGACTCCTTGTCTTCATTGGCAAAACTTTTATCTCAACTTGACTACTAGGAAATAGTGCTACTTGGTGATTTTAACTGGGACTGGTTAACTGCAGTATCAGAGGATTTAAAAAACCTTTGTATTTCTTTAAATGTTACTCAGATTGTAGACAGTCCTACTCGCCCTAACATTAAGTCCCCAAATAAATCCTCCCTAATTGATCTCATTCTAACTAATGTTCCCTATAAATACTCATCTGTGGGAGTATTTGCTAATGATGTGAGTGACCACTGTGCGGTAGCCACAATCAGGGACACAAAGGTCCAAAAGGGTAAACCTCGCATTATCATTAACCTGTTAACCTGTTTAGCCCTGAGCCTGTTTTTCAGGTCTCAGGCTCGAAAATGACATTCCCAGAACAAATGACCATATCTTCCCTTCTAAAAGGGTTAAATTAATAATCTTTTTTCTCAAAGTAATGATAAATCTGTGAGTTGGATGTAGAAAAGTCAGAACAATATAGACGTTTTTTATTTTAAATAAAATTCAGATTGAACATAGTGAAAAACTGTAAATTATAGTGTCCGTCCAAAAAATCTTTTTTACTTATAGTGAAAACTACCCTTGGATGATGGTAAGGTAGACTAAAAGCTTTAGGAATCCAAAGTACAACATATAATAAGTACCCTGTATCAAGATTGATGCAAAACAAGTGACATTTGACCTTTTTAGAGAGGTTTAGCAAAATAAACTCCACCTCTGAGGTGATTTGGGTGGAAATTGGGTTTTACCGTTTCTCTGGAACCCATTGGTCGATTTTGGTGATTGACATCTCTTTCTGACCGTTAGAGCCAATAGAATCGAAGGGGAATCTCCCCTCTCACACACATGGTGAAAAAAAAAGGTGGCGGCTTCGCGCATGCAGTTTTGCATCAGAGCGAACCTACAGATGTAGCAGCTAATTTAGGATAGTTTGAAACGCGAGGGCCGTGGTCGGCCCGTGAACGGCCCGTGATTTGCCCGTGATCGAGAGACAGCCTCCAGTCTGACTTGAGACCGCCCCCTTGATAAATAAATGTAATTATTGTGAAGCCAGCTGCAATGGATCATTGATCCACCAGGGGGTGCAGTGGGGTTCCACACTGGAGCTCATGTGAAATCAACTTCGATACAGTAAGCTGGATGTACAGTATGTCTGGTACTACTGTATAGCGGATCTTTGTTAAGATCCATATGTCACGGATAGGATCATAGTCTGTGCTAAATAAGAGACATGTAATCATTTACAAAACATCACCATGTTGTTATTTAACAAAATAATGTTGTTTAGTCGAAAAAAACGAACGAGAGGAAATGCAGCCGGCTCTCAATTTTTAATCCTAATTTAATCATCATCTTCACCACGATCATTTATGTTTATGTTCGCCGAATTGACATGAAATCACTGACAAATATGAATATACTGTATTCAACTTCATTAAAACGTTATTAACGTGCCTAAACTCAGTAATTCACTAAAAATATTTATATTTGAATGGAGCCTTGTCAGGCAGATCAGGATCTTGATCCCTGGGTGTTATTTTTCCCCACAATGACCAAGTCGCTGCAAATTATCCCGCTTATTACATGGCCACATTCTCAACAAAGTAACGACATGACTCCCAATATTAATTGAAATGCTTTTATGGATTTAGAAAATGTTTTTATTGATTTAAAAAATAGTTGTATGTATTGATTTAAATTGACATGCATCCGCTAAGAAAAATAGTCCGTTGTTACCGTTTTTTAAACAGTCTGAATGAAACGGCAGCTCTCAGCTGTGTGTTTACACACCTAATGGCCCATCAGCCACAGCTCTCTCCCCCCCTGATCTTTCTTCTCCAGCAGTTAAGTTAACTGTAGGTTACTCTGAGTGACAAGCTTACAGTTAGTGAAGTAACACTTTTTTTTTGTGAGTCACGACCTGGCTGTTTCATTCTAACATAACGCTCCAAATGCTACTGTTTCCACTTGGACTTCAATACAGCTACACCATTGTTTGGTTTCCATGGTAGCGCGTCTCTTTAGTAGCGCGCACTCCTTTCCTGTAAATTACAGGTCCAGCCAGGCAAAACAGTGCACTTCTCTTTTCCGCACTACTGTGACAGACCATGGGGCTGGGTCAGCCACTAACATATTCATATTGCTCTTCTCAAAAATAGAAATATGAACGTTAGTTTTTAACTGAAATGATCAAATAAAGTCAAAATGTCACAGTGTTTACAAACATTGACCATACCGTTCACCAGCCCCCACCCCCCTGCCTACTGTAGGCCTATGTTGAGTATACTCTTTGTTTAAAACTAATTGGCCATCGGAATTTGTGTGTCCCAACCCCCCCCTGTGATATCTCTTCTCCAGCAGTCTGTAGGTTTGTGTTCACATATTTATGCTGTCGCAGTTCCTAAATGACACGTTTACACCTTAAAACGATGTTTAAAACGAAAAGTAAACGTTCAGGGTTTTTATTAATGGTAATTTTCAGACTGTGAGTTGTTTAGTGGTAACTCATATAGTCTTGATTCTTGTGGTTAAACTTTTCGCTCCGTATTTGATGGT